ATTGAAGGCTATGAAGATTATGTTTTGCCTGAACAATAATTATATTATATTGAAAAATTTACATTGAATTTAAAAGTTCTTGAAGAGGTGGTAAATAAATTAGAGAGGGAAGACATAGATAACAAACATCACAGTTCTCATACAAGGGGTAATTAAGGTTTTTTTAAGAATATCTTCTTATAAAATTAAGAACTTAAAACTTAAACAATATTAAAATTTGATTTATTATCTTTGTTTTAATGCCAAGTATATTTATGTATATTGATAATAAAGAAGTTTAATTAAATTTTGAATTTAACTCCGTGAGAGGTTGTGACATGCACACTTTGACCTGAACGATGCAAAAGGATTAACAGTGAAACTCTATTACAAATGTAAAATAGGATATGGTGCTGTGTCAATTTTAAAACAAATGGAATTTTAACATATCAATGAAAACTTCAGCCAAACTCCTCTTTAGCTCAGCAAAGAAGATTGGGAAAGTTATGGTTCACAAAATGAGAATATTAGGTTCACAAACAAAGAAACTTAATAACAAGGAATCAAAAGAAAGAAAGTGTGCAAATAAGCAATATATATAAATTTTTATGCATCACAGGTTTTGTTTAAAGTAAGGAAAATACGCAAAAAAATTATAACTCATGTGGAAGATATTTCAACTAAAATCACTTGGCATCGTAGAATCATAAAAGTTAAAGGATAGTTTTAGCCACTGTCTATAGTTACCAGGTTGTCGAATAGGTTTCCAATATACTTTACAAGATCCTTATTAATCCAAGATGCACCTATAAACAATTCTAAAAGTAACAAATAATTATTACCTTTCTCTCTTTTAATTTTTAGATCTGTTTAACATCATGTTGTAAATAAAAGGGTGGAGGTTGAGAGTCTTGTAGAAATACAGGGTGGTCTATTTCTATTATAATATTTTTGCCTTCTTGTACATCTCATAATATAAAAAAAAGGGTGGAGGTTGGTAGTTTTCCATTGTAGAATTTTTAGAGTGGTTATACTTCTACTTTAAGATTATATCAAAACATTAAGGGTAACTGCCTTCCCACAACTAGCTAAAGACAGAGAAAGGCTGTAGGAGTTGAGACATTGTGGATATAAGGACTGATTCTCCATAGTTGCTGGCTACTTTGACATTGGCATCTGGTTCTAGTCTGATAGATGGAATATCTCCAACACATTTGGGTACTATGGCCACATATGTTATCCATTATGACTTTAATGGTGACAACAAGGACCGGTATTGAAAAAATAATTGTTAAATTTTTAGTTTCATTGTAATGTTTGATATCTGTATATATATAATGGTTGGTAATACTCATGCAACATGTATTTTATTTCTATGTGTCTAGCATTTTGTATGGATACTATTCTGATATCCAAATAGAATGATGTTATGTAATTTCCTCCATTACCACATAACTGATGTTACCAGCCTCATGGAAACATTATTTCAACAACTAAAGCCTGTAATGTATCTATTTTTAACTTGCATTTTAGAAAAAATATACATAAAAGCATTTAAAAGTTATTTTCATAAAAACGAAAAATTCAATTATAAAGATTTACAAGTATGTTTTGTGTTAAATCACACTGAGAATAAAGAAAAATAATGGATGGAATACTGAGAAGTGAACACATGTGGATTAATGGTTTTATCGGTTGTGTTTTTAGAGTAAAGCCACATTGGGCTATCTGCTGTGTCTACTGTGAGGAACTGAACCTCATATTTTTGCATTTGTAAATCCAAAAACATGCTAGTGTCCCACTGGGTGATGGTTTTATCTGATCTGGAATATTAATTAGTCTGAAAAGTGACATGAATTATGTGTTTCATTTTTTAATGTTCTTGCTGTCATGTCATATTATTCAGTGATTTTTAGTTATATGGTTCATTGATAAAATAGCATACACCTGATTT